TTATTGACCAAGAATAATTTGTGAACATTTACATGATTTGTACACTTTGAACTCCCTTTCAGACTGAAAGGGACTGACAAAATTCATACCGAGGGATTGGCTAAATTCCACTCTAACATGTACTCCATTCTCTTTGGATTAAACACTGATAAACAGAGTGATTTTACAGTCCAACAAAACAAACTATTTAAAAAGTTAGTGCGGATACAACTTAATTATTTAAATATAATTTTGGCTTTCAGATCGATATGGGAAATTTATTAATGGGTAATTTCCTAATAGACGATTTTGGACCCCTTCCTCCCAAGGTTTAAGTCTTTTTTTTCTCAAGGTTTAAATTTTTTTTCCCTAGGGTTTACATCCTTCATGCCAAGGTTTAAACCCTTCCTCCCAAGGTTTAAACCCTTCCTCCCAAGGTTTACATCTTTCCTCCCAAGGTGTAAACCCTTCCTTCCGATGTTTGTATCCTTCCTTCCAAGGTTTAAGTCTTTTTTTCCAAGGTTTAAACCCTTCCTTTCAATGTTTATATCCTTCCTCCCAAGATTGAAACCCTTCCTCCCTAGGTTTAAACCCTTCCTCTCTAGTTTTAAACCCTTCCTCCCTAGGTTTAAGCCCTTCCTCCCAAGGTTTAAACCCTTCCTCCCAAGGTTTAAACCCTTCCTCCGGATGTTTGTATCCTTTCTCCCAAGGTTTAAGTCTTTTTCCCCAAGGTTTAAACCCTTCCTTCCAAGGTTTACATCCTTCCTCCCAAGATTGAAACCCTTCCTCCCTAGGTTTAAGCCCTTCCTCCCAAGGTTTAAACCCTTCCTCCCAAGGTTTAAACCCTTCCTCACGATGTTTGTATCCTTCCTCCCGATGTTTGTATCCTTCCTCCCGATGTTTGTATCCTTCCTTCCAAGGTTTAAGTCTTTTTTCTCAAGGTTTAAATCTTTATTTCCCAGGGTTTACATCCTTCCTCACAAAGTTTAAACCCTTCCTCCGAAGGTGTAAACCATTCCTTCCGATGTTTGTATCCTTCCTCCCAAGGTTCAAGTCTTTTTTCCCAAGGTTTCAATCTTTTTTTCCCAGGGTTTACATCCTTCCTCACAAGGTTTAAACCCTTACTCCCAAGGTTTTAATCCTTCCTCCCAAAGTTTAATCCTTCTTCCCAAGGTTAAATCGTTGCTTCTAATCCTAAAGAGAATTATCAAACATAAAATGCAACTTATTTTGAATCTTATTCCTTGAGAACGGCTAACCATAACTGTTTTCAGGAACATGAGTGCGGAAAATTCAGCGCAAAAAAGTCCTCAAAACAGCACTAATATATATATGTGGGTTTATGTCCAAAAAACTTCATACAAAAGTTTCCGGCCTTGTCTGAGTAGGCGAGGAGAAAACAAACTGTGATTGGATAGACTGAAAATCCAGAGGATCCCTGTTTTATCCATCCAAAGATCTATTGGAGGAAGTTGAAAAATATGAGAAAATATTTCAAAAAATACATGGAAAGTCTCCTATCGAAAAAACAATTTCAACTATTACTGTAATGAACATAATATGGCCTCGGGAGGATGTAAAACTTTTTGTAAATGTAAGATTTTTCAATAAAATGAAAAAACTTAATGTAAGCCCCGATGTAAAACTTTTTGTAAATGTAAGAATTTTCAATAAAATGAAAAAACTTAATGTAAGCTTGAAGAAAAATAATAAAAAAAATGTCAAAACATTGAAACAAACTGCTCAGTTTATGTTTGACGATCTGAGTTTTAAAAAATAGAATGTATAAAATTTCAATAAATAAATGTATCAAAATATGGATAACATTTTATTCTTTTTTATTTAATTTTATGTTAGAAGGTTTTATTCATATATAAATGACTAATATTTAATGTGCATTTCCCGAAAAAGTTTTTAAAGGTACCGTTGTGAATCAGGCATATATCTTTATATGCTAGACATTGAATTATGTCTACTGCCCTCTTTTTGCATTGATTCCCATGGAATAAGAACTTGTTTTTGCTTTTATTCAAACATCCGAATTTTACCATTTAACGTTTCACAATTTGAATATAATCTTGGTAATTATCATTTCCCTCTACTGTCTTTAAAGCATATACTCGCAAGTAACAAATATTCTTGCGTTTTATAATCATTATTCATGTCTATTTTATAGCAATTTATTCTGAATTATTTCTAGAATCTAAGTTTCTACATTTTATCTGTTAAATTAAAGAATATGGATGATTTATTTTCAAGCATTTTAAACGAACAGTTTCCCGCATTTCTAGTTAAATCTATATTGTAAGAACAAATGATGTTAATATTTTGATTTCTAAATGCTGTAATATTTTTAAAATTATAAAAGAACAGTTTGTTTTTATTTCCTATTTTGTTTATATTTTACCTTATAAAAAAAAATCTTGTTTTGTTTTATAAGTGCGTAAATACTTTTGAAATGGACATTGATATGAATTCCGGTAATTGTCTCAAAACCAGGATATGTTCCGAAAACGCGACATGAGCTGAAACCGGTTTCAAAATAGAGATATGTTCGAAAATGAAATCAAGAATCATCAAAAACTAATTCTCACACCTTAGTATTAGTTTAAAATTGACATTTATTGTTTCAATATATATATTCTTAGCCATTTTTTATAAATATATGGACTGTAATTTTGTTCTACTCGACTTGGATTTAAAGATATATACTCTTGAAAAAGATAACTTTGCAGATTTGGCCCATTTCTAACACTAAGTCTTAGAAATGGGCCAAGTGTTGGTTTTGAAACTGTTTAAAACTGTGATTTCTGTTAGATCAAATTATCTAAGATTCCTTAGGTTACTAAGACGACATTTGAAGAAATTAAAAGAAATCTGCGAATATATTTACATAAGTTAGGGAATTTTGGAACGAATAGATTTTATTCAACTATTGCTGTTTTTTCTCAATAATTTCTGAGAAGAAATTATTGCCAAAGAACCTGTCAAATCATTCGTTGGGATGTTTAGAAAGATGAAAATTTCCCTGTATGATAATTGAAGGACTGCAGTATGGATTTGGTGAATTATATTGACGTNCCAGTAATTGGTCCAATCTTCCGGAATTTTAATCCTATTTGATGGAACCTAAATAATAAGCAGATGGAATTGAGAATTTTTACTTTCGTTTGAAGCAGAATACTTTAGGCTTTTAGTAAGTAATTAAAGTTTGGGTCTTTTCCAGATTAAGTATGGTCACAGAGCAACAAGGGCACAGTGATTTAAAGGTCTCAAGCAAAAATTCATGAGAATTTTGCTAATTACTTCTTAAAAACCAAAGTGCTTTATAGTGCTAAAATGTACATGTAAAGGGCTATAGAAAAGCAGAAGGGAGTTAGAGCGGTAAAGGCAGCTAAATGAGAGGAGTTGAGTCTTTGCCACAAACTCTGCTTTTCAAACGTTGTAGAACTTTGATATTTCTATGATATCTGTTAGATCAAATAATCTAAGTTTGAAATAACAAAGATTTACGTCATCATGTTGCACAGATATAGGAATTTGAAAATTTGAGTGTGTGGCAAGGACTCAAATTAATCATACAGGAAGATAATGTTGTCCCTTGAGCTATAAAACTATTTAAATGGACACACTAACCTCAGAATATCCCGGAGCTTAGGTTGATTCAGACCAATTTCATCAGCCTTCTCTGCAATACTATCAGCAAGGTTGTACAGATCAGCAGTTATATTAACAGCTGATATAATCAGTATTATCATTGCTGCACTGGGTAACATGGAGCTCATACCAAACATGTCACCTAAAATATGTTGAACAAAATATTCTCACAGGAGAAAAATGTTGTACTGTCCCGTTATACAGTCCCATCTCCTAACCCCACTCTCACATCATGTCGTCTTTACCAGCCCAAATCCAAACCAAACAATTTCTCCGACTCTACCTCTCTACCCAGACAAAGGAAAAAGCAAGTTTATCTGGTTTTAATTAGAAATTCAAAACAATTTTGTGTTTCTCAATAGCTTTACAATTTAAGGAGTTGAGAATGAAAACAGGGAGGATTTTAATCTTACGGACAATTTACTTTGGCTTGACGCCCGCACCCCCCTTAAAAAATATTGTAAACCACTCCTGGATAAAAAAAAGATACCTGATATTGCAATAAACGAAGAGGTGATACTAAAGATTTGAACTGATGAAAAGAAGAAAATGGAAATAGGGGAGAGAACGCTTCTCAATTTTCCATACTCATCATACAGTTGTAGGAACCTTTCTAGTTCAATGCTTTTCAATTCAAGAATATTTTTTAAGTCCCTTCTTACATTTGTAATCCAGCCATAGGTCATCACTAATAATGTAAAATAATCTGCCATTGACAGACATATGAGAATACCGGAGCATATCAGAAAAACTGGCACGTTGGTTACAGAATCAAAATTTGTAAACGTTGCATAAAGGAGTAATATTCCACAATTGTAGAGAACCAAGGTAATAAACAATACTGTCCAAAACTTGTTTTTAAAAACAGTATTCCCATTGGATGTAGATGGAGAGATCCTGCCAGCTGACCATGCAATTAATACGGTCGAAGCACTCCCACCAATGAGACTGACTAGTCCAAATGAAAATACAGTCATCATGAGGAAATTTCCTTTTTTCTCCATTATATCTGTCATATTGAGAAACAAGAAGCCAGCAAGCGCAAGCACCCGTATAATATTCCAAGCAATAAATTTCCCGTTCTTTAGATTCATCAGAGCACCCCCTTTTGGGTTTTTTGCTAGGGGTAGAATTCCAGATAAGATTAAATATTTCATGATTGTTTGAAAATGCATGTCTGAAAGTAGAGATGGGCATCTGTTTTATGAACAAACTAAATTTTTCGTTAACGATTGTGTCATATAAAAAATTTGATGGACGAACGGCTTATATCGTTCAGAGAAATAAAAAGCGAAAAAACGAACAATTTCAAATAGTTCAAATGTTTTTGATCGTTCATGAACGATTTCTAAATCATGGATTTGAACGCACATATTTTCCAAAATATTTTGAAAAAAAAACTATTACTTTTTTACTAAACAAATGACTTGTTTAACAAACTTTTGAACGAAGGATTTTACAATCATTAAGTGAGAAAACGAATGAAATCATTTTTTTAACGATTAAAAATTCAAACGAAATCGGTTGTTCACGCATGATGAACGAAGGAAATGATAAAAAAGCCGAATATACCCTGCTCTACCTAAAAGGTGTTTACTCGGGTCTGGTTGAAATTAGAATGCGTAGAAAATTATTGTTTATATTGACTATGGAGTGCAATTGGTTTACAGCAACAGAGACCATGCTGCCATCCTTTAGGCTCGTTTAAACTAGTAATTTTTTAAATTTTCTAACCCACCCCCCCCCCCCCTCCCCCATTTGGTGAAAATGGAATCTTTTTATATATCAAGGGTCATTCAAAGTTATTATGACGGGTCAGAAACCATAATTAAAAACTTTTGAAAAAAACTATTTTTGGGAGAAAATGGAGAAAACTGCCCCATTTTTTACGCTTTTAAGCCTGTTTATGGGAAGTCTGTAGTATTTCTTTTTTTGGTGTAGCCATTTTGGCTTCGGGATTTATCAATTGTCAGACAGTAAATAGGAAATTGGAGAAAAATGCCCCATTTTTGACACTTTTTTACCTGTTTCAGGGAAGCCTTGGTGTAGCCGTAGCTTCGGAACTTATCAATTGTCAGACAGTAAGTAGGAAATTGAAAGATTTTTTATTCAATTTTGTGGATTTTTCATCCAATTAAGAACAAATGAAAAAATCGATTTTTAAAAATCGCTCTGTAGGTCAACCCGGACCGAAATATATTTTCAAAAAAATGTGGAACTAACTTTTCTTTTTTTCACTCTATAACATTTGGATCATTATCAAATTTAAAGTATAAGAATTACTTAGGGAATCACTACTTTTAGGTTCCTTCCCTCAAATTATCCTCCAATAGGAACAAGTAAAGTTCCTACCATCTAATTATCCTCCAATAGGAACAAGTAAAGTTCCTACCATCTAATTGTCCAACACTAGGAATGACTAATGCTTAAAATGCCTTTACTCTAATCGACTCCAATAGGAACCATTACTGCTAAAAGTTCTTACCATCCAATTATCTCCTTATGGTACAGTGCTGCTGAAAAGTTCCTTTCCTATTCCAATTATTGGAAATGTAATAATGGTTTTTATATTATAAAAATAATGATCAGGCTATTCAAAATGTGAAGCTATTCAAAACCGGAAATTATTTAAAATTGAAATTATTTGAAAGGTAAAACATGTATATTATATTTAAGGGATTGTAATCGTAATTTCAAGTGACTCACCGTGCAATTGCACTGAAACCTAGATAACTCTGAGAGTTATGTATCAAATGTAATTAGACACTATTCGAGGACCAGATAGGCAGGCTCTCTGCTGTTCCAAAAATGTGCTTGCAATAAACAGTCTTGACTTTAAAATGTTGCCACGCTACATGCCGCTTTGCCAGGGAGTAAGGAATAGAAGGGAGATACACCTGACGCGGTTCGCCCTGCCATATGATTGTACATGCTTTGCAAACGGGTACTCCATTTGAATAAGAATTGTCTGATGTACATTTACTGCGTATACAATAACCTATTCTGAATATTTCATAGACAAATGGAGTACCCGTCTGCAAAGCATGTATAATCATATGGTAGGGCGGGCCGCGTCAGTTGTATCTCCCTTCTTTTCCTTACTCCCTGCGCTCTGCACATGGAAGGTCACTTAGAATTACACCTACAGTCCCTTTAAATTGAAAAAAGTAATGCACACATTATAATACTTTATGGTACAAAGGATGCATCATATTCATTTTATTACAGTATTTTAGGTTTTTAACAATTTTCTTTTAATGCACTATAAAAGCAATTTTTTATTGCAGAATACGCAAATAATATTCAAAATAGTGGGCGGGGAAAATATAACGCTTACAATATAACCACCAAAAATATAATGACCTATGATATAACTGACAAAAAACAACAGACCAAAAATATAACCAATCAAAAATATAACCATTTTCGACCAAAAAAATAACGACAAAAACTATAACCAACCAAAAAAATAACCATTTTTTACCAAAAATATAACCATTTTCGACCAAAAATAAAACGACCAAAAATATAACGATCAAAAATATAACAGATCAAAAATATAACCAACCAAAAATATAAACATTTTCGACCAAAACTAGAACTTTTTTTTAACCAAAAATATAACCATTTTAGACCAAAAATATAACCATTTTACACCAAAAAATATAACTCTTCTTGACCAAAAATATAACAAATTATAGTTAAAAAAAGTTTTTGATCAAAACTATAATTTTTTTTCGATCAACATTATAACTTTTTTGGCTAAAAATAAAACTATTTTTTAGCCAAAAAACAATGTTTTACCAAAAATATTAACATTGTTTATAAAAAAATATAACTTTTTTGACCAAAAATAAAACCAATTTTCCACCATAAATAAATTTATTTTTTACTAAAAATATAATGACCAAAAACACGACAGACCAAAAATACAACCTTTTAAATTAGGTTTTATATGCCTTGTCAATGTATGCAAAGACTTTTCATGCATGTATACTTGTTGCATTCTGTGCATACGTAGGTTTTCTTCTTCATACTTTCTATTAGGTATGTATACAGTTAAAGTTTTAGTTGAGAAATAGTTACAGTTTTGTTTTTAAAATTGTTATATTTTTGGTTAAAATATATTTTTATTTTGGCTAAAAAAGGTTAAATTTTGGTTAAAAAAAGGTTATACTTTTGGTTAAGAAATGATTAATTTTTTGGTTAAAAACGGTTATATTTTTGGTTAAAAAATGGTTATATTTTAGGTAAAAAATGGTTAAATTTTTGAAAAAAAATTGGTTATATTAGAGTTATATTTTCCCCGCCCATCTTCAAAATTAGTTATGGAAAAAATTGTGTCAAAAAAAAACTGTTTTGACATTTTCTCTAATTATTCTTAATATCATTAATCAGGAGAATACAGAGTCTGCACTTCTTGCCGCAAACTCTAATTTTTATCTGGCAGAAATAAAAGTTTGATAAAAAAAAGATTTAATTATTAGATTAAAACATATTTAAATCTTGGATAATAATTTGATTTCTTTTTATTTTATTTCTTAATGTAAATATTAAATTTTGATTTTCAGAATTCAGAATTTTTGTTTACCTTTTTTAAGTTATGTTTTTTTGTGAATTATAAAAAGAAAATATTTTCTTTAAGTTCAATATTAATAAACAGCTTTATAATTACACAATCACAATTACATAATTTAACTATCAGATTACTTCTTTTTCGCTCCTATTTTCTTTTTCGCTCCAATTTATCTAAAAGATAAAATTTTAAGTAAATTGTATTTTAGTTTTTAAAGTCAGACTTTCCATTAGGGCACTTGGCGCTCTCGCTTTTTATAAAATTTTAGCATCATTCAAATGTTATATTATTTGCTAGTTGGAACCATTTTTTTATTCGTACATTATAAACGATGAAAACAACAGTTTAATATTTTTCTGTTTATTTTGGTGGATTTAAGAAAAAATTAACTTTAACCCATATCCCTTCTCAGGGCTTAGTGGTATTGTTTTGTTTTTTACGTTTTTAGAACAGAAATACTACTTAGCCAAATTTTTGTGACGCTATGATCTAGTTTGGGAACCTGGCTTTGCTTGGAAACCAAACTTTTCCCATAAAAGTCCTCCCATATTCAGCAATATCAAGCTAAAGAACGTTCCCGTGGGTTTACCGAGTTTTCCTATCAAATTTGAGGCAAAGCGGTCAAGGGGTTCATGAGTTATGATTAACAAACAGAGATTACTAATTCATCATATATATATTGCAAAGAATTGTAACTACTGACGATCGTCATGATAGACGTGAAACATTATGTTGAGTATAATTCTTTTTTTAATAAAAATGTGAAGTTAAAAACTGAAATATATTTATAAAAACTGAAAAAGTTGAAAATACTATATATATGTATATGGATATTTATATATATGTATATAGATATTTATATTTATATATATATTTATAAATATGAACGTGTATTACCTCACTATAATGTTGAATCAGATATCATCTACTTTGTTAAATCTTCTGAAGCTTTCATGTCTTTAAAATGGGTTCAATTTATTATTTCTTGCTTATTGCTTATTTTATCTAAATGTACTCATTTTATCTAACTATGGTAAGACCCATAAAACTTTGGAATACAGAGACAAAATTTATGTTTGTGAATTTGATGCTGTCATATTAAGCAATTTGTTGTACTAAACTAAATATTTGGGTCTGTGTATAAGACAAAAGTTTAAAAGTTGGATGATTCAAACCAGGCAAGATTGCCTGACTAGTCTTCATCGTGCCGGCTCGTCCAGTGTACACAGCATAGTGCTTGTCGTGCCGGGCCATCCAGTTCAAAGCATTGTTCTTGACTTGTTGTGCTGGCCCGTCCAGTGTACTTAGCATAGTGGTTGACTTGTCGTGCCGGCCCGTCCAGTGTACTTAGCATAGTGGTTGACTTGTCGTGCCGGCCCGTCCAGTGTACTTAGCATAGTGGTTGACTTGTCGTGCAGGCCTGTCGAGTGTACACAGCAAAGTGATTTGACTTGTTGACAGTTGGTGCGTTTCATGTTTATCGGACTTCTTAAAATCATATCAGCTACCTTCCTATTTCATATTTAGAGTCCCTACTATACAGGGTTACCCACAAAGGATGAGACTGTAAAGACGACCAAAAGCTCTTATAAATTGACGATTTGAAGCTTGACATTTTTTGTACTTTCAAATAAGTATTTTAATAAGCCAGTTTTGGCCTGCAAGGAATCCTGAATATTGGAAAAGGGACTAAACAAATTCTGTACAGTCGTCTCTGAAGTCTCATCCTTTGTGGGTAACCCTGTATATATTTTCTTGTGTTTACTTTTTTCCCCTTTTTTGTCAATAAATTTGTGTAAACCTACTTAATTCAATTAGTTCAAGACTCATTATTACTATTATTATGCAATTATGGATTTTACATTTAATTATGTTGAATTATCCATGTCTCAGACATTTTAGTCTCCGACCTAATTTCTAAAAAAGTTATTTCTCTCCTTTCCAAATTTTTTCATTTTACATTTATTTTACGTTATTATTATTATTATCATTATTATTATTATTATTATTATTATTATCATTATTTAAATAAAATCAGAATATGCATTTAAGAAGATAAAATCCTTTACACATAATATTGAGCCCCTGTGCCCCCCCCCCCTAGCTGTAGGTGCTAGAACTTATACATATACTTTAATTTCAACATTTTTGAACATTTCGAACAAATTTCAGTCTTTGGCACAAGTCCGCGTAACAGAATTCCTAGTTTGACATATTGAACCTAAAGAACACTAGGTTGTACTTTGTAAGGATGGGGAATAGCAAATTTTAATTTATGGCAAAGACTCAATTGTTCCTTTTCGAAAAATTTTCCACCAATTGAAGGTTTACAGTTTCAACATTGAGGAATGTTTCAGTTTAAAGTTTTTTTTTTTTTGGCTTGGTTGAGTTCGTAAAGGAATTGAGTCTTTGCCACAAACTATGATTTTTTAATTCGTATATCTTTGCAACCCTATGTAGAAAATCTTAGATATTTCAAACTATGAATTCTGATATATCAAGAAATCTAAGTTTGAAATTTAACAAGCTTACAACATCAGATTGCAAAGATATAGGGATTGGAAACTTTAAGTTTGTGACAAAGACTCATTTTCTTTGTTATCTTAGGGTTTTAAAAATGTTAAGTGATATCCTAAGAAAAACTCTTCTAAAAAATCTAAAATCCATTTTTTTTTTAAAAACCAATTAATTTTTTTCAAGTTTCTGTTTGGTATCTGGTGTTCTAACATTTCAAAATATGAAATGAAAAGATAAATTTTCTTTTACTTTCAATATTTATCAATATCAATTTTCAACCAAGCCGAAATGGAAAACTATAAAAAAGCCGTAACTTCTTCAATTTCAGTGCTTCAAACTGTTGATTGATGTCCGCCGATCGAACATGTAGATTTCGAAAATGGAAATTTTGATCTATGATGACACTCTAAACTTTGTTACATTGATAAAACTACTTGTACATATACCTGTACATTGATATATATAGCTACATTGATAAAACTACCTGTACATACCTGTACATTGATACATGTCTGTACATTGATACAGCTAGCTTTACATATATCTGTACATTAATATAACAAGCTGTAGATATACCTTTAGAATATTATGGCCAGCTGTACATATACATCTACATAAATATGCCTAGCTGTACATAAACATTTACATTAATATAGCCTGTACAGTGTACATATACCTTTACATTAATACTGCTAGCTCTGTAATGTACATTGATACTGCTAGATACATAAACATATCTACATAAATATAGCCAGCTGTACATATCTGTACATTGATACAGCTAGCTGTACATATACCTGTACAGAAATGGATGTAATTGATTGATTTGAATCGGTGCTTGATCTATCTGTCAGCTCAATATCAACCTGAAATCATTTAATTAAATTTCATAAATCTTATTTTTGTGGTAACCCAGGAGAAGTCTTTGATATTTCAAACTTAGATTGTTTCATGTTACAGAATGCTTATGTTTAAAATATCTACTGTCCACGACATCCTCTTGTTAAAATATAGGAATTAGAAAATTCATTTGTGGCAAAAATGCATTTTTTAAGAAATTTAACAATTATTGTAAAAAATGAATTTGTATTAAGAAAAATCTGTGAAGGTAGATTTTAACTGGATTTAAAAAAGAGCTAAATGTCTGATTCACAATATTACCCGTTAAACTTTATCTGATTCACAATAGTGCCCGTTAAACTTTATCTGATTCACAATAGTACCCGTTAAACTTTATCTGATTCACAATAGTGCCCGTTAAACTTTATCTGATTCACAATAGTACCCGTTAAACTTTATCTGATTCACAATAGTACTCGTTATCTGATCATGGCTAAGGGAGATATTATTGTTTATTTTTTTAAACAAAATAGTGAAACCAGTTCTCTTTGGGCGGAATTTGTAAAAAAGAATAGATGCATCAGTGTTCGTTTAGTATCCGAGGAGGTTAGAAGCATTAAATTTGATAATTTTGATAATTCATATAATAGTTTTCTATGAGCAGAATATTTCATTGATTTTTTAATGTAAAAGATGGATCCCATGTCAGGATGCGTACACTTCTGAAATAACTTTCCTTGCATTACATCCTTGGGTACCGTTGTGAATCGTTATTGGAACTGGTTAAATGGAGGATCACTCGAAAATGTGTGGACATTCCCTTTAAAGAAACCTTTTCTGTCCCTTCTGATGATACAACAAGCTTTAATGTCCATCGTCTTCTGCTGCTCGAAGTGTCAGATCTACAAAAGTGTAAAAATAATTATCAAAATTTTGAAAATATTTTTCTTTTATTTTGTGTAAAAAAACAAGTGCTTATTGATGCGTATATATACATGATTTTACAAAACAGCGCTACAGAGTCCAAGCCTGTTGTAATTACATCTAGGCTTTTAGGGCGCTTCGCACCCATCTTCTATTTCAAAAGTGAACATTTTCTCTTTGCATGCATTGTAATACAAAAGATATTTCGCGGATTTTATAAAAAAAAATCGTGGATTTTCAAAATTTTTAATAATTGAATTTTGTTAGAGACAAATTTTTGAAATTAGATCATCCATAAACGGGTCACGCCGCACGCGAGGTTCCACAAAAAATTAGGTCCGATCGGTTCAGCCGTTTTGACGTTTATTGGATACAAACAAATAGAGATACAAAGGATCGCCATTTCATAATGATTTTTTTCCTAATTGACCATCGCCAAAATGATTATGATTTTAACATGGTCTTCGTCGGCCAATTAAATTCAGAAATCATCGAAACTAAAACGTTTTCATCGAGTGAGAAGATATAGATACAATGTATTTAAATTTGAATTAGATATAATTTTACAGTTTAGATGAAATTATTTATTTTATCAGTTAAACATCCCTTTCCCCCGCATCCAGCCATTTTGTATTTTGTCAAACAGCTATTTTTGAAAATTAATTAAATTTCAAGTGACCCGCCGTTTATAAAGTGGCTGTCACTGGTTCGATTCACAACAGTATTATCATTAAACTTTTGTTTGATCAACGACGACTGAGAAATTCGTATTTTAACTCTAAAAATCCAGTACACACTTATGCCCAGACTATATTATCGTACAATGTGAAAATACAGATAATTATTTTTCAAAAATTCGAATATATACAGTTACAATAAAGTTATTTCCCCTATCTACAAATGGAGAAACCCCTTGAAATAACGTATACATTATCTTTAAGTATACCTGGTCGATCCCATATGTAGAGTACCAGGTGTTAATGAATTAAATCTAATTAAAAATCGATAAAAAAAATTAATAATGAAAACATTGGAAAAAAAATTGCTAATTTATATCAATTTAACACTAAGAAGAGCTTACAAAATGCTATCAACACCGCTCCATTTAAAGTACATGTACAGGCCCGAATATAAGTAGCTAGTGCAAGCTGTACAGTACAAATATGAGGCAAAACGGGGCAGTGCACCAAATGAATGATCGCCTTCAATTATGTGAAAAACCAGTGAAACATTTAAGTAAAGGTCTTTTATTTGAAAAGTTGTTGAGGATTTAAACTGTTTCATGTTTCAGAAATATAAAATACAAAACTAGACACATTGCTCTTGCTAAATAAGGAAATTACCAAAGAGAATAGAATATATATTAGAGTGGAATTTAGACAATCCCTCGGTACGAATTATGTCAGTCCCTTTCAGCCTGAAAGGGAGTTCAAACCATGTAAATGTTCACAAACTATATGCTGTAGAGTTCATTGATACAGTATGATCCCTAGACTATCCATTTCAATTTCGAATTTTTTAAAGCTGTTAAATAAACTTTAAAAAATGAATTAGTTGAATAAAAACCATCATTTGATTTATCGTTATAACGGAAAATTATCGTTTGTAAAGTGAAAGGCACAGAGTCTATGTGAAATGATCATTGGTCAATTATGAAACCA